CTCTCTAACTACTCCTCTCTCTCTCTCTCGCATGGGTAAGTAATGCTTTGCTTTACTTATTTGCCTTCTCTCTCCAAATTACAACTCTCTCTCTCTAGCTTTAGAGGCGTTACTTCCTGTCCTCTCTCTCTCTAAACTTCTCTCTCTCTCTAGCTCGACGAAGAAGTAAGGAACTTGATTGGCTGCTTCGGACAACGGGAGGGCAAGCATACGGAAAAAGTTTAATAGGGTTACCTTATACTGTAGAAGTACGGTGCACCTCATAAACCAGTAGAAAATAGTCTTTTAAAGTTGAGAAATCATTCAATTCATCATTTCGAGATTGAGATATTTTGATATTAAGAAGAAAAGAATTTCAGGATCTTGCAACAAGTTAATCTAGATTGTCTATTTTTTAGATTTTGAAGTATTTATAAATCTGTTTGATTTGAAATGTTTGAAAATTTTAAATTTTATAATTTGTGTTAAAGATATATTTTTAAACCATCCTAAAAGTTTTTGATACCAAACCTTCCTCTTCTCGGAAATTGTGGAGGTGCACCTTTCTTATATAGTATAAGGTGAGCACCTTATGCAAACCTCACCCAAATCATAAATTTTCAATATATATAGAGGGAAATGATTTCTATTTAATATATGTATATATAGTTGACACTGTAGAAAACTTGCAATCCTATCAAAATAAGTAACATCCCACCTCAAAATTCACCGACAAATGTAGGTTGGATGTCAAAGAACTTTTAAATCAATCATCTCGGTCTTGATGATGTAATTATAAAAAAAAAATCAAGATTTTAAGCTCTAAAAGTAATGTATATTAAAATACATTATCTAAATTGTCGATTTCAAAATAAGTGTTCGCAGTTGCACAATATATGTATTTTTTTTTAGCATCATTGTTTGTGTTAGAAATTATTTTAGAGCCATCACGGAGATTTATGATGTCCAAAGTGCTTTCAGGGCGAGGATACGAGGTAAGGCTTTATTTCGTTTTCATAAAGCCACCTTATGGAAACAACATCCTTTCACATATATTAAGTCAGTTAAACAGCTAAAGAGTACTTATTGAGGGGATCCTCGAATGTAGCATTCAACTATACCTATATTAAATCCAATTCAATCACTATTTTCTGTTGTTATAAACTCCTATTCTGGTATTTTTTTTTTTTGAAATATGTACTGGGGATTTTAATTGGAAAAGAATTTTCCTTAATGAACAGTTCATCCATAACTCCCAAAACTTTTAGGGATTTCACATTTCAGAAAATAATTACTTTTTTGAGATTGTAATTTTATTGAAAATTAGTCTTAAAAAATGGGATCTAATAAATAGAGATGTCTACATGTGCCCATAGTAATATGCAGTTGCTCTAATTAGAATTTTTCTCTTTTTTGTTTTTTCTATTCTATGAGGGCCCCTCCTATTCAAATGGACTACTGTGTAAAAGGAAAAGGATGCCATGCTTGGTGAACAAGCATAGCATTGTGCAATATTAAATAGTTTATGTGCCTCTGCCTGGCTTGTCATTGCATATTAGATGAGATAGGTAAGTGAAGATAAAATGAGGCCCTATTGCATGTGAAGACTGGTCAGATGCGAAGTTGGGCAGAAAAATCTACATTAATCATATTTGTAAGTCAGAAACATTTTCCTAAGACTTTGTGCTGAGTAAGTAATACACCCCCATCACGTGACGTTACATATGAGGGTTTCCAAGGCCTGTGACATGCGGAAGAAAGGAAATGGTATCATTGTATACAAACCCTATTTAATTAATGTTTATTTTAGGGTTGAGGCACACCCACTTGTAGCTTAAACCAGTGATCACTGATATTTTCGGGGTTGCTGTCTTGTTGGATGTTGCATTTTATGCATGGCATGAAGACTTTACACGAAAATCAAATTTCAATAGGCATTATCTGAAAATTAAAGATCATGAGAAAAAATATGTCTATTTGAGCAACCAAAAAAAATTTACTTCTTCACATTATAGTGGTGAAAGAATCCTAAGAATCTTCTTAAAACAATAAAACAGAATCCAAAAGAAACCAGGAAAAAAAAAAAGTCAGCGAAGAATATTATCCCGCAACATTTTCATCAACCAATATATCCATGATCTTCTAGCCTTCAACAATCAACTCCTGATTCCAATAACCAAAATTATAACTCAAGCAAAATCTATATATATATATATATATATATATATATTAAATATTAAATATTAAATAAAACAATAGAACTGTTCAGGCCCATACAGATTGTAAGTAACACAATGCAAGCAAATTTCAAATCTATGCCACACCATCTAAATAAATGCTCCAATTGTACACGGTTACATTAAAATCTGAAGACTTGAGTGAATTCCTAAGTTGTTTAGCCCGATCCTTGTCCTTGGCAAGCAGCAAGGCAAACCCACCACCGCCAGCCCCAACAAGCTTGTAGCCACAGCAAAATTGACTCGCAAACTTGAATAACTGGTCTACAAACTCATTACTACAGTAGGGGTCTAATTCCTGATGAATCCGCCATGCCTCTAACATGATATCCCCGAGCTCATCCACTTCACAATTCATAAGAGCCTCTTGGCCAATCTTGGCAAGCTCAGCAAGCCGCTTGATGCTGGATATGAGTAGGCTGTCACGTTGAAGATATCTAACCACCACCTTTTGCAGAACTTGGTGAGCCAACCGAACCTGCTAAGATCAGTACTATTGTCATCTAAAATGGAAGAACACAGAGAGAGAGAGAGTCTTTCAAGTTAATCCAAGCTGCCATGCACCACAGTTTCGCACTAGTAAATATGCAGGCAGCTGAATTCCAAAATCAGATGCTAAGTTTGTCTGTCATAGTGTGAAATAATTAAAAGCGAGACATGCAGCAAAAAAAAAAGAACATTAACAGTCCATTACTCAACATAGTATCAATCATTTTCAGAAGAACATACTTTATCAGTGAACTAAAATTAGCATGACAAGAACAATCTCATCTAGCTACAACTTAGCTATGAGGAAACTATACTCGTCTAGTAATAACTTAGCATGTCTGACAATTCAAAAAAAGAAGAAACCTCACATGAGGTAACTCTACTTCAACATGATTTTTCTGGTTAAAGATGAAATACTGAAGAAGGTAAAGAGCTTCTGATAGTTATATGTCAGCTTAAGTCAATTACTAAAAGGAACATACTGGAAGTGAAGAGACTTTGTGCCACAGTGATAAAGCCATGCAGACAACCATAACAATCATAGTAATAGTTCAATGACTATGGTGGTTAGAATGTGAGAGTTTTTATTATTGACCCTGACCTGATAACAGAGGTGCATTTCTTGCATTCTTGATGAACTTAAAATTAAGTACCACGAAAACTTAAAATGGCAGGTCCATGTCTTGAAAATTAACTAATACATTCATTAGGTAATAATCCGAAAAATGGGTATGTGAGACCCAAAATCGGTCTACCAATGGATCTATGAATTATACAACCATCTACTCTCGGTGTACATGCATTAAAAAGTCCAAAATTGGACAGACTAGGCTGAGGCTCTTGTAACTGACTAAGAAAAAAAAAAGAATGAAAAGGCTCACAACTCACATATGTCAATCACAATACTGCTATAATCAGAAATAACAATATTGTTAGAATTATCGAGCATTTCAATAGTGACTGCATATTATCGATGGGAAAGTATACTATAATCCTGTGGACTATGAGAAAAACATTGCACATTGGGTCATAACCGTCTAATAAAATCATTTATGGCGATGCAGAGATGCCCACAATTGGCATCATTGCCTATTCTGGCAGGTCGAACTCTCTCCATCACTTATAATCAATCATTTCAATCCAGTGCAATAACCCAATGAACTATGGTTTTTCCTATAGTGCACTTTGCCATAATCAATTGCTGCCTAATGGACATAATGGGCAGGCAAGGTCGGTCCAAGTCCATTTATTTTGTGGAAGCATTAAGGACATAAAAACTATTACACTTGCACCAGCCTCAACAAGCACGACACATACTTGCCCAGTAAATACCACCAATAGTCGCTGTTCCAGCTCCAAGACCATCTGAGGTGCGGCAGTAAGGGGGATTACATGAAGGCGTAAAGGTTTTCCAGGGAAGCTAGTCGTGCATTTAATGCCAGGATAGAGACCTCCAATTTGATCTTGCCAACCTCCACCGGTGCCCATTATCTGTTCCAAGACCAAAACAAGCCCCGCGACATTGTCATTGCTTTCATCCCCTTCCATTATATGAAGGAGTCCCTTCAAAACTGCTGCAGCTAAAATGCTGGAAGTCCCCAAGCCACTACCACGAGGAACTTTAGCCCATGTCCTAATCTGCAGGCCTGTTGATAACGGTATTTTTCCTTGACTGATGCCAGTCACAATAAGTGCAGATTTGACAAGACGAAATGGGTCTTCTTCATTGAATGGTGTATGAATTGAGTTGGCATCCTCAATGTATGTTTGGTTTCCAGCATCATCATCAATAGTCACTCCTTTTGTTGATGTTGTCTCAATCTCAGTGCCAATGGGAAGACAATCCTCCAAACTTATTGCCATATTCAGAACACGACCGATGCGCTCCAAGCTCCACGGTGGGGTATCACTCCAACCCCCAACAAAATCTACACGAACTGGTAACTCCACCCTCGCTCTTTTTGGGTAAAGAGGATTTTTCCCATTAGCATCACCAGTATTCTGAGAAGTTGCCGAACCTGAAAATCTCAGAGATTCTAATAAGTGGTCTGTGACAAAGGCAGGTTTAGCAAGCACTAGAAAGGATATTCATGGGTGGTGCATGAATCCCAAGCTCATCTAAATATGCTACCACGGTCATATGGTTAAGCAAGAGAACTACACAGTATGGTTGAGTTAGTAAGTAAAGAACAATATTGGCATTTCTAGTGATATTCCTATTAATTCAATTGAATTATTCACAAGAAATCCCAATGAGAAGCACTGGCCTATGTGCAATAAACAAAACCTTAGTAAACTAAGCTTCTATAATCACCTTCAAGCCCATATTTCACAGCTGCAGCCGTCTCCTCAGCAACAGAACTCCATACATCATGCTCAATATTACATGCAATTTCGTCTTCACCACATGCCTTGTGAAGATCAACTTGGACCTGATACGCTCTACTTCGAGGAAGAATTCCTGAGTCTAAGGCCTGTAGATTTGGACAAAGTGTAAGAAAATTCTTGCAAGCAGTAGTTCCTGATACTTCATTCTGCAATATTTCAGTACATAGCCGAGACAAGTTGCGTCCAAACAAACCATAGCTAATGCAAGCCTTAGCTATCCCAGCAGCAAGATCTGCCTGATGGATACTGGAGTCCAAGCAAAGTTGTCTAAAGTCAATCGATCTGTGTATCTCCTCCAAACTCACCCGATACGAATTTCTCCATAAAGACAACATATCTTCATTGTTGTACAACCTCAAGCCCAAAAGCCACATTGCTAAACTGAGCATTTCATGACGAGGTAAAACAGGAAAGATCTTAGCATTCCATAAGCACTGTTCTTGAGCATCTGAAGTATTCCACAGCTCACTCTGCTGAATACCATGTTCATGCAAAACCTTCTTCCACGGTTTTCCACAAAAGGTACCATCTTTGGCATGTGAACTTTTTGGGTTGTCATGGAGCCCACAAAATAAAATGACTCTTTGAGAGCACCCAACCAATGGAACTTCCCAAAGGCAATGGCGATCTGGCAGTATGAACCAAGAAGAATTTCCAATGGAGCCTACAATATTTTCTCTTTGTAAGTGAACACCAACAATGATGCATCTAGATCCAATCTGAACACCAGTGGAAAGTGAGGAATCATAAATCAAAGAATCCTCCCCAATTGAGACGCCAGGAGCTAGTTTACTTGAAAGGATAACAGCAGATGCTGCAATATCACATTCTGTGGTTGCTGGTATGGAACATAAATGCCGACGTCCAACATATCTTGAATGAGCCTCTCCCAAATGATCCAAGACTTCAGTAGAAGTGCCAAAATGCAAGAAGGAGAGGTCAACTGCAAAGACAGAAAAAAATAAAATAAAATAATGAGACATGAAATGTTTTTGGAAAACATCTACTATCCTACTATAGTATTATACCAAAGAAATAAACTAAAAATAAGTTTATCCATAAGGATGTTGTACTTAGAATATACCACCACGAACTTACATGCACAATAGCTAAAGAGATTCTGATTTCCTAAGCCACTGACCAACTCTATCCCCAGAGGGCGTGACTTCAGCCAATTATGTTTTGCAGGTACCCAGGCTGCTACCAGATCCTCATATAAGCTCATCTGCATGAGTTTAGAGATGCATTATATTAAGAAGCTAGGTTTAATATCCCAATAAGCCTATACTAACATGAAAATTTAATTACCATAGAGCATCAAAATACAATATTATTAAGTTGTTTTTGAATGTGAATATTGAAAACAACGCTGTTTTCTACTCACACCATACGAAGAATTTTGGGGATGAGGTTTGCCAAGGGTAGGGATGAGTTCATGTGCACAATGATGCAAGCTCAGACATTTATTCAAAGCATAAGTTCATGTATAGGGGACATCAAAGTCCTCGACCAATGCTTCAAGAGACATTATCAAATTCTACAGGAGAGGAGATTAATTGGTAATCCAGCAGGAGATTAGTAGTCCATCTGTGGACACAACATTGGCAGCTGAACAGCAGGAGATGGGAGAGGGTATGGAGTTGTTGGCATCCCCAGTAGACACAATAGAAACTGATTGAAATATCTGAATAGTTTTTTTTTTGTGAAAACTGTTTTTTTTTAGACTGTAAACTGTTCTATATTAAAGAAGATATTTGTACATCAGAGGGGGAGCTAGAGACCACCCTCGAGGCAGGGATTCTAGAGTAAAAAATAGGCACTCCATCAAATGGGGGCCCTATACAAAAATGGGATTTACAACTGTCAAAGTTTATACAAAGATACAATAGTCCAGTAGGTGTAATAGACGAAATCCCAAAAAAACTGCTCATGCTTGAAGAGCTCCATCTTTAGCCAGTGCGTCCGCTTGGGTCTGGGTGTTGGATTCCCGGCAAATAAGCCTCCAATAGACGACCGTATCCTTGCAAAGGTGAGCAATCTCGTCAAAAATTGGAGCGAGGTACCAGGTGCAGGGAGTAGAGCCAGAGGCCCAGGAGATGACATTCTGTACGTCTCCCTCGATGATCAACAGTTGACCCCACAGAAGTTCAAAACATTTGAGGCCAGCGAGGAGGGATAAAGATCCGCCGACTGGGAGTCAGCATGGCCCAAGTGGGTTGAGAAGGAAAGCAGCATTAGGCCAAGGTGATTCTTGAAAAGACCTCCAGCTCCTGCCTGTCCGGGGTTGCCTAGGGAGCACCCGTCAAAGTTGAGTTTGGTCTGTCCCAAGGGGGGTGGTGACCATACGATAGACCGAGAGGGACGAGGTGAGTGGGTGAGAAGCAATGATTGCCATTTGGGGATGAAGGTTGATCTGTTAACTGTTGACCTTGTATTAAGAGTGAGTATACAATATACAAAAACCGCCCAACCCAGAGGTTCAAAAAAGCCACAGAGTGTGGCAACAACAAAACTATACAGGCAAAATTACATGGGAACAGATACAGTTACTAAACACAGTCGCTAATTACAAAAATTTGACAGGTTTTCATCCCAAAAAAGATTAGGGCAAAGCCACAGAAGCTCCTTGCTTAGCCAGTGCGTCGGCCACTTAATTGGCCGCCCTCCAAGTATGAGTCTAAGAGACCTACATATGCCGGCAAATTCCGGAAATCTCATCAAAGATAGTCATGAGTCTCCAGGGTGGTGTAGCCTCTCGTAAGGCCCAGGAAATGACATTTCTTGAGTCACCCTAGACAACCAGAACTAAGCACCAAGAAGGGTTGAAGTTTTTAAGGCCATCCAATAGGGCACGGGCTTCCGCCGTGGTGGAGTCCACGAAACCAATGGCGGAGGTGTAAGAGAAGAGAGAAACTCCATCGTGGTTCCTGAAAATACCCTCTACACCTGCCAGACCTTGGTTACTAAACGAACACCCATCAAAATTGAGCTTGATGTGCCCAAGTTCCGGGGGTCTCCAAAGAAAGGAGCGGGGGACACACCTGGTCGATGATGAAGGATGGTTGTCCAGTTAAGGAGGCGGACAGGACCTTGAAACAGTTGTGGTTGGTGGCCCAGAAAATGACCATGAAGATGATGGACTCCATGATTAAATGACGGTGTGAATGTTGTCCCCTGAAAATTCTGTTATTGCATTTTTTCCGTAGGGACCAAGGGGTGGCCATTACTGCTGCTTTCCAAAGCATAGTGCCAGATTTGGGCCTCCCAGATACGGCTTGCAAAGTTGCAGTGGATGAACAAGCGTGCATTTGTTTCCTCCTCCGGTTGGCACATAGAAAATTTGGTGGGGATTTAAAGACCTCTTCCTTGGAGTTGGTCCACTGTGAGGACTCTCTCTCAGAGGGAGATCCAAGTGAAGACCTGTATTCTTGGAGGAATGAAAGGAATCCAGGCCTTGGCTATGATGGACCATTGTGAAGGTTACACAGCAGGGGGGGTGGAGAGTTGGAGGAAGAAGGAAGAGACTGTGAAAGTCCCTGACGCAGCCGGACTCCAAATGATTGGTCCTCCCCATTAGGTGAAAAGGACAAGGAGTGGAGAATAGATGAGAGTTTAAGAGAGGCGGGGAGTTCAACATCACGAAGTGGTCTTTAGAAATCAGGATTCCAGGATCTAGAATTTCCAACTGTGCCAAAAAGATTGGCTATAGAGGCATCGGGGTTCCTTGTTAGACGAAATAGACTGGGAAAACACAGCGAGAGGGGACGTCGTCCTAGCCAAAGGTTAGTCCAGAATTTCACCCTTGTCCCCACCCTAGAAACAGATAAAAGACTTGAATAGGTGGAGGGAGCAAAGCAAAGATTTCCATATAACAGAAGCTGAGTTGAACTGCCTGTCTGGAAGGAACCAGATGGAGGAGTTGAGGCGATATTTGTGGTATAAAACCTTGTGCCACAGTTGGTCCTCCTAATGCTCAAGTCCCCACCACCATTTACCCATCAATGCCAAGTTGTGCTCTTGTAGGCTGCGGATCCCCAAACTCCCAAAAGCTTTCGGCTGGCAAACAGAGGACCAAGCTAGAAGGTTGTATTTTTTAGATTCCCCTTCTCCCGACTAGAGGAAGTTGTGCATCAATTGTTCTAGACAAAGTGCCACCAAGGCTGGCATGTGGAATAAGGACATTTGGAATATGGGGAAATTTGAGAGGGTGGCTTTGATTAGGGTGGTTCTATCCGTAGGAGAGAGATATCTGCCCTTCCATGTGGCCAGTTTGTGCTGGAACTCGTCTATAATGTGGCTCCAAAGGGCCGTTTTAGGTTTGCCATGGCATAGAGGAAGACCAAGATAGGTGTAGGGGAGGGAGTCTGTGCCACATCCCCATCTATGAGTAAAAGCTTGGGTAATGTGGGGATTCACAGAAATACCAATCATCTTGGATTTTGTCAAATTAACCTTGAAGCCTGTGGCAAAGTGGAAACAATTAAGGAACAGGACCAAATTATAAACTCAGATAATTTGAACTAGCAAATTATCAAATGATTTTTGCCTTAATGACTTCGCGGACTGCATAACCCAGCTTGAACTCCTAGACACTCCCCTCCAAGGGGTGAGGTTTACGTGGTCTAATCACTCTACCTCTTCTAGGTGATTAGACCCAAGTTGATAATTTCCCAAGGCAAAAATCAGCTCTAACAAACAAAGATCAAGTCATCCTAAAAGTTGGCAAGCACTCAGAAGACAGAAATTTTAAACTGATTTCTGAATATTTATGTATTGAGCAGCCATAGAAAGACGCAGAAGTGAACCTCAATGGGACGGCAAAAGGAATCTAATCAGCAAAGTGATGTATTATAGCCTTTTTGTTGTTTCTTCTAAAGAATAGAAGGAAGAAACCTTTTTACATCATCACAATCAATTACCACACTGGAAAACAAAAAAATGTAACTTGCCTCCTTTCCACATCTCAAAAGCTCCGAAATCATCGATGGACTTGAACTCGAAAGCAAAAGAAGATCTGCCCATGCTTTACCTCTAACTGATATTATCCCAGTATCAAGCAAAGTTCTACCATCTTGTCGTATAGCGTTGTTAGCTTCAAGTTCCTTCAAAGATGGCTTCTGTAGAAGATTTTCAACCAAGTTTAGCTCTCTTCCAGAGTTTTGCTCCAAATTTTCAATGGTAGATGTCACGACCACACCATGGTTACGTGCAACATCAAGGGTAATAGGAACTGTAATGATGCAGGATGCATTATCTGGAAGAACCATACTAGAAGTATCAAAACAAGGGAGAACATCTCCAGTCATGATAAGAAGCCCACCTGCCAGTTACAAGTTTTTCAATTCACACATTAATAGCTCATATTGGCATCGCTAGGGTCTAAAGAATATTAATATCTAAAGCTACACCTTCAATTAAAGCTGAAAAAGTAAACAATACTTAAGAGGGCAGAGAAGACTGGCTCCAAAGATAATAATATCATTACAATTGACAAGTAGTATAGCAATTCTACCAGGATGACATCAAAGAAGGGAAGTTTATAGCTTTATATCTTCTACTCTGTTTGCAATAAAAATAACGGAAACTCAAAAATTTTCGAATCACAAAACCTAAATAAAATTTCTCACTCATAATCTATAAGCTTGATCATTGGATTGCTCCAGTTTTTTGTCCATTCGGAAAAGATTTAAATGAGAGATGTAAGTTACATTCGAATGTTGATTAAGGTGCAATCGATAACGGTAGTTCTCCTACCAAAACTCAAGTAACAACTCTAGTCTATCCATGGTATAAAACTCCTTTCATAATGATTAACTTAAAATTCCTACAAAGGCCTCCTAGTTTTTTGCAGGTCAAAGCAGGTGGCTCAAACATCCATCTGGGATGTTAGCACACCGTGCAATATGCATAAAATACATAACACACATTGCAAGTTCTAGTACAATATCGCTTAGAGCATTTTCTTTCAAACTACAACTAGTATAATACCCAATATAGCTTTGCTAAGGCAAGGGCCCTCCTCAAATGCCTCAAACTTTTTGACAGAAGCTGGGGGTCCTCATTGATTGCCGAAGGGAACTCCAAGAATGTCATCAACTGCACCAGCGGAGTTCTGGTGTGTCTGTGGAGAATGGAACAGTTTTCCAATTAATCACCAACATTCGTAGAACAATATAAGTTTTGGTCAGGCATATACGGAGAATCTCCAACAAAGCAGGGGACTCACTAGCCAAGGAAGGTACCTCGAGCACATGTTTTACAATCAACCATCCCCATTTTAAATAGGGATGTATTTCTCTTATATTTTGTTTTTTTGTACTGAATATTACACTCTACCACCCAAATATTGGTTAGCCATGTAAATTATGCCTTTCAAGGTTGTCGAGGAATAGTATTTCATGCCCCGGTTTAAAGCACCACAATAGCGACACATGTCAATAAGATAACTTAGAAGAGAGAGAGCAATGTCAAATGTAATACTAAATTTAGAAGAGAGAGAGCACTGGTAAATGTAATACCACCTTTGTTCTCAAAAGCTTGTATTGCACTAGAGGAAATGGCAAGTACATGGTCAAAAAGCAGTGGAACTGGTCCATCAGGATCATCAGACGCAAGATATGGAAGTGGTAGGAAGACTTTGCCCATTGGGTTGGCCCATGGAACCCTCTTCGAGTCACCCCCGGCATGCAGCAGGAGTATGCGCATTTTTTCCATTGATTTTTTAACAGCTGATGTGATTGAATCCCCATCATTAACCCTGTCACGTAGTTCCAAAGACTGTGAAAAGGCAATTTCAGCATTTGGTACCTGTGAATAGTGCATGTGAATCAAAGAACAACGAAAGAATCAAAGAAATAAGTTTTAAAGATAAAAGACTGTGACAAGTCAATGGTGCATATGCTGCAAGCACATATCTTCTGGAACCTAAGAATGTGATTGATGCCCCTAAATTCAGAGTTTGTTCACAAATCAACTACAGAAAACAAGGGACTGTATACAATGAGACTACTACCTTTAGTGCACAAAGGCCGCAAACACGTTAAACCATTAAATGTAAAATCAGATGGATGGGTTGTGTCATTTTTCCACACAAAATACAAGAAAATTTTTCTCAGCGATCCAGCACAGTCAATGGTAACCCCCTTCAAGCTGTCAGATCTCACATCTAAAAGCTAGGGGCGATTTTGACTTTTTGTACCAAAGGTAAATGGTCTTGTTGTGTACTTTCCCAAACAAGAATAAGAAGCATAAATAGACATTTGAATCAGTTTATGTACTTTGCTTGAAGAGAAGATATCGGGAGCATCCACCATGTGATAAGATAACCATAACTTGTCCATGAAGAAGGAGATCAAAGATCAAAGATTACAGCAAAAGAAAGAAAAAGGAAGGGTGTATTGCATCACAATTCATGAGTAAACCTTGAAACTACAAACTTCTACAATTTGGGTGCATCTGCCAGAAACATCAGATATAAAAGCGTGAAGTTTCTCAGATAACAACAATATGGTGATGGGTTCCAGTGAAACCACACAGGCATCAACATAACACACGCAATTTGTCTAGGCCTTCCTCTAAACAGATGTGTCATCTGTTTTGCTCTATTTTTCTTTTTCTTTTTTTTTTTAAGTGTTAACATTCAATAAAAGAGTGAATAAGTACAAGAGACCCTGGCAATCCACAGTAAAGCTTAGATGCTCAAGGGATAAGAAACACAACAACCTAGAAAAACAGTTCAATCCACCAAACTAGGTCCAAAAAATAGAAAGGAAAAGCTAAAAAGCCAAAAAAGTTTCTAGTTGTTTGCCAATGCTGCTGCTTCTTTGGCAAGGTAGTCAGCTGCTTGGTTTCCTTCCCTCCATGTATGCATCCACACGACAGACGTATTCCTACAAAGGTATTCAATTTCGTCAAACAAGTGGTTCAGATGCCAAGGGGAATGGGAGGAGAGAAGACTCTGCGCCCAAGAAATTGTGTTCTTGGAATCTCCCTCAATGAGGAGGGAGTGCAGGTGGAAGGGTTGGATGAGTTTGAGGCCTTCCAAGAGTGCCATTACTTCGGCGTCCATAGAATTAGCGTGGCCAATGTGTTTGGAGACAGTTGCCATAGTAGTACCGAGGTGGTCTCTGAGGATGGCTCCAATGCCTGAAGGACCAGGGTTATCGAGAGAACAATCATCAAAGTTGACTTAAGCTTCCCCACAAGTGGAGGTTTCCATCTTGATGCTCACGGCAATTGCAAGCGATGGAATTGAAGAACGCTGCTCCAATCCTGGTTAAAGGCCGAGGAGGGAACGCCTTTGAAAAATTGGTGGCTGGTCACCCAAAAAATAATTGTGGACTTAAGTTTGTTGAAAACTTTGGAGAAATTTGAGAATTCCCCTTGGAAACTTCTGTTGTTCCTCTCGATCCAAAGTGCCCACAAAGCAGCAGCCACCGTCGTTTTCCAACGAAGGATCCCTTCTTTATGCCAAGGGAAAGATTGGACGGAAGATCTGATGGAGGTTACATCTGCCAGTAGCACCCATTGCACATTGAACAGTCTGAGGATAGCTCCCCAGAGATTGAAGGCATAGGGGAAGTGCAGTAGGAGGTGGTTGTTGGTCTCTTCTTCCGAGAGGCACATGACACACCTATTTGGAATCGGGATCCCTCATCTTTGTAGCTGATCTACTGTTAGAACTCTCTGTGAGAGAGCCAGCCACATAAAAATCTTGATTTTTGGTGGTGCAAAAGATTTCCAAGCCTAGGCAGCTGTAGCTGCAAGGGCGAGAGGGAAGGTTGGTGGAAGAGAAAGGCTTTGAAAGAAAGAGGAAACCGAGAAGTCCCCTGATAGTGAAGAACACCAAATGATGCGAACAGGCCCCGATGGTGCTATGAAAAAGGCCTGGAGTTCTGCCGCTAGAGTGGCAAAGCTCTCAGTTACGAGATCATTGAGAGCCCTCCTGAAATCTGGGTTCCATGATCGAAGAGGCCCTGTCGGTAGCAGCCACAGTTGCTCCCTGATCTCTGGCCAAGGAGAAGAGATCGAGAAATATGTCCTTCAAAGGGGTGTGCCCTATCCACAGGTCTGACTTAAGAGAATTCTATTTCCCGACCTCGGATGGAATCTAATACGGGACAAAAACGCTAGAAAGGTCGAGCAAATTGATCTCCACATGCCCGAGGACCTCTAGTTAGCCCTGCAGTTCGGTAGCCAAGGAGAGTTCGACAAGTGATATTTGTATTTTAGGACATCAATCCATAATTGGTTGCTCAGGGTTGAGAGACACCAACACCATTTTCCTAGTAGTGCCTTGTTCTGGATTCTGAGGTTCTTGATTCCAAGGACAACCCTATTTTTGGTCTGGCATATTTTGTCCCATGCTATCAGGAGATGGATTTTGTTGTTGGAATTATCTCCAGACCAGGAGAATCTTCTCATCATCTGTTCAATCCTAGAACTGACAGCTACAGGCATATGAAAAATGGACATTTGGTAAACCGGTATGTTGGCAAGTGTTGTTTTGATCAAAGTAAGTCTTCCTCCTGGGGAGAGGAAACGGCCTTCCAACCAGCTAGCCTACGGTCCACTTTATCTAAGATATGGGACCAATGGCTAAAGCGAGGTTTGCCTATGCAGAGTGGAAGCCCGAGATATTTGGAGGCAATGACTCTACCCCACAACCCCAATTGTGAGCAAAAGTTGAGTGTTATGGGGTCGACTTTTACACCCATCATTTTTGTTTTTTCAAAACTGACTTTGAAGCCTGTTGCAAAGTCAAAACACCTAAGAAACATGAAGAGGCTATGAATTTCAGTGCGTGAGGCGTTGCAGAAGACCAATGTGTCGTCAGCATACTGGAGGTGGGATAATATCGGAGCTCTAGGGCAGACCGAGAAGCCATGCAAGTGACCAGCCGAGTACATTCTTAAAAGAGAATGGCTGAAAACCTCGGCTGTGATTGCAAAGAGAAAGGGGGATAAGGGATCTCCCTATCTGAGGCCTCTAGAAGCGGGGAAGTAGCCTTTGGGGGTACCGTTAATAAGGAGGGAGAAGAAGGGGTGCAAGAAGCAAGCACTCATCCAAGTTCTCCATCTAGAACCGCCTTTGGGGGTACCGTTAATAAGGAGGGAGAAGCAAGCACTCATCCAGGTTCTCCATCTAGAACCAAAACCCATCCTAGACTAGGCTTCTTTGAGAATGTCCCAGTCTACATGGTCGTAAGCCTTCTCCAGTCGAGCTTAACAATAATGTCAAGTACCCCGGCTAAGTGTCTTGAATGTATGCATTCATGAATTCCTAATGCCCCATCCAAGATCTGGCAATCTTTAATGAAAGCACTTTGTGTAGGTGAAATTACTAGGGAAAGGACCTCTTTGAGACGAGAGTGTTGGGTTTATGTGGCCTTTAAAGGCCTTATGAGTGTGTAATGAAATACATTTATTATAGTGGAACATAAACTCAGTGGGAGTGTGGTCCCTCAAAGACCATACTAAGCAAATGATTTTTGCGGACACCGGATTGTGCTTAACGATCTAAGCCAGTCGATTGGAAAACCTAAGGTACCTGGGCATAAAAAAAATAAACCGAGAAGGGTTTTTGGATTAGCCCTTGATTAGGTCGAAGCTTATGCCTAGATGAGTGAGCCGAGGGACTATGTGACTCTTGTATGTGATGGTAGGCCTACAGAGACGAGGGCTAAAACCTCATCTATGTTTCATCACACGGCATGCATATAGGTAGATCGTTCGGGAAAGCTAGATATCCACCTTTGCGTGAAGCATATGCATGTGCGAGAGATACCCCTATGCGCCACAAAACTGTGGTCGCATCAGGTCGTGGTGACCTTGACTTGTCTCTAGAGGAAGACCTGTAATCCACAAACTGGGATTGCGACTCTTTAGCTCATCGACCAGACTTTAGTGACACGCTAATGAGCCCGTGCTTGGACTGTGGGTCATGGGAAACACCGAGTCGGTTCGATAAAGCAAGTGTGGTCTGTAGTCCACAGTTGAAGGTGGAGTACCCCGTGATCGTTGATTTAATTCTTGAACTATATAGATCCACTTCCCATCATATTAATTTAATTGTGTTCATTTTATTATTAAATTATTTTAGACCTATTATTTGAATTTTTATAAGTCATTTGATATTTTCTTTCTTATTTTTTGACTTATAAAAATGAAGTTATTAATTTACAAAGTTCTAATATTTTAAAATTCATTTTGTTTAATTTAAAAATATTTATTAAAAAAATACATGGGGGCCCATAGTGCACATGGGCCCACCATGTGGGTATTAGGTGGGGCCCCACATACCATACATGGGTGGCACACCCCACCCTTGGATACCTTCTCTTGTTGCTTTATCTTC